CTTCATTTGTCAATCAAAGTATTGCAAGGAGCTCCTAAAGAGATTTGAAATGGATGGCTCCAAAGCAATGGCTACCCCAATGAGCACCTCCGAGCACTTGGAAAAAGATGAAAAGGGTAAGGAAGTAGACGTAAAGAAGTATCGAGGTATGATCGGATCCCTTCTTTATCTTACCGCTAGTAGACCCGATATCATGTTTAGCGTTTGTTTATGTGCAAGGTATCAATCTTGTCCGAAAGAATCGCACTTAATGGCGGTGAAACGGATAATGAAGTATCTTGTTGGTACAATGAACGTTGGACTATGGTACCCCAAGGGGTCTCCTTGTCATCTTATTGGCTATTTCGACTCGGACTTTGCCGGTTGTAGATTAGACCGTAAGAGTACGAGTGGGACTTGTCACTTGCTTGGTAGTTCTTTAGTCTCATGGTTTAGTAAGAAGCAAGTCAGTGTTGCGTTATCCACAACTGAAGCGGAATACGTTGCTGCCGGTAGTTGTTGTGCTCAAATCCTTAGGATGAAGCAACAACTTGTGGATTATGGTCTTAGTATCGATCACGTCCCTCTTCGATGTGATAATACTAGTGCCATAAGCTTGACGAAGAATCCGGTTCTTCACTCAAGGACGAAACACATTGACATTAGGCACCATTTCATTAGAGATCATGTTCTCAAAGGTGATGTCGAAATTGAGTTCGTTGAAACACACAACCAATTAGCCGACATTTTCACAAAACCTTTAGAGAAAGAGTCGTTCTTCCGCATTCGTAGTGAACTCGGAATCCTTGACTCCACGATGATCTAAGTTGTGCATTAATTATTATTTTTGGTCCTTACTAACTTGAACGTCGGAGACGTTTTTAATTCTTTTTTGCAGGGCTCTTTTTTAATTTTATTTTCAGGTGTCAAAGTCAGGGGGAACAAAGCAAATCGATTTTTTGTCTCCAGACTTGGTGTAAATCGATTTACAAGCTTGTGATAATCGACTATCACAGCCCGCTGAAATTTGGAGCAGAAACTGAAGGAGCCAGTAATCGATTATCAACATTATAATAATCGACTATCATTGCCCGCAGAAGTTTGAAGCAAATCAGGCGCAAACCACGACAATCGATTATACGTTTTGTGTAAATCGACTATCGCAGCCTGCAGTTCCTTCAGCGGAGAATCTGAAAAACTACATAATCGATTTACACGTTATGTAAATCGATTTACAACGGTAGATTTTCAAAAATCTGACCGTTTTCTAGCCGTTTGGAGAGCAATTAATGCCTGTTTGACCACCTCTACGAATCTCCAAAGGCTCTACTCTATAAATTGGTGATATCTACTCAATATTTACTCATTCCAATCATCTCTTCTCCATATATTCATCATAATTCATCATTCTTGCTGTTGCTCTTCAACTCTTAGCCAAATTTTCTGCAATCTTTCTCTACTCCCTCTCTACTTTGTTGAAATGGCAGGAGGTCAAAGAAAAAGATCCCGCACCGGCAAGAACGTGGCTTCTTCCTCGGCTCCTCCACCACTGGCGCACAAGTACCTCGACGGGTTGTTCCTTTGGTTCAACGACCACGCAGAAGCGACGCGGTTCTCGGAGAAATTTGAGCACCGGGAGATTCTCCCTCCCCGATTCTCCACCGCCCGCTTCATTCATGACTCCATTCCACGTGAGGCACGGGTTATCCTCGAACGTGGAAACTTCCTCGATCTCCTCTACATCAAGAAGGTCAATTATCACCCCTTTCTTGTTCGAGCTTTCTACTCGAACTTGAAAAAGGATGAGGACGGAGCGTTGATCTCTAACGTCAATGGGGTGAACATCTATTTGAATGAGGAGAACATTCAAATCCTCACCGGGCTTCGTCGGGATGGACAGGATCTCGGGCTCTACGTTGGAGAAGAAGGAGCACGGTTCAATGAGACTGCCCTCTTGGAGGAAGTGGGCATCCGACACTTCGTCCCCACTCCCCAACAGCGGCGCCCTACGATTGCTTCCATGAGTCCCGTGTTTCGATTCATTTTTTATGTTTTGACACAGATTCTCAAGCCTAGGAAGTTCAATCACACCACTCTCTCCCAAGAGGACACAAAGACACTTCATGCGATGATTCACAACGCCAATCTCAATTGGTGTAAATTTGTGATGACTCACATGTTCACGGCCACCTCCGACAATCGGCCGCTCCCCTACGCCCTCCTTGTCATGACGATTCTTGAAGAGTATAACATCAAAACCGATGTTGGGCCAAAGATAAAGGGGACAAAGCATTGGGAGATTGATGAATCCTCTTTCCACTCGGGCACCGACGAGACTCCGTTTCGATAGCCTCATCCACGCCGCAACCCGAGAGCCACTGCCTCAACCGCCACCACTTCGACCAATCCTTCTCTCGCCGAGCAAATGGCAGCCTTAACTGCCACTCTCTCTCGGATTGACACCAACGTCTCCAAAACGGCACACAACGTCAATACCTTGAGCCGTGAACTTCACGGGTATTTTGACTTTGTCAATTACCCGTACGCTCAAATGGTCCCTTACGTTCCTCCACCGAATTTCGGAGGTGAACAAAGTGGGACTCAAAACGTTGGTAGAGATCAAGAAGTGGACGATGAGGAAAAGGAAGAAGAAGAGGAAGAAGAAGAAGAAGATGATGATGATGATGATGGCAATGGCGATGAAGAAGAAGAAGAAGACATTGACGAAGAACAACTTCTCAATGATCTTTCCCCGGATTTCTAGAGCTCTAGCTCTACTTTCTTCTCTTCCTTATTTTATCATCTTTTAATACGCTTTCGTTATGTACTCCGTTATTTCCCTTAATTAATTAATAAAAATCTTTATGATTTTTGTTGTTAACAATCTTTTTGTTAATGTCAAAAGGGGGAAGATAAGGGCTATGCATATATTAAGGGGGAATTTTTTATTAAAAAGATCAAAACCCAATGCATATCCCCGTCTTGTTTTCCATTATCAAAAAGGGGGAAATTGTTGGAACACACTTTGTACGATAAACTAAAGTCATGTTCATTTCTGACAGGTTTTGATAATTGCCAAACCGCCGTGGATATAAAGAGTTTCGTTGAATAACTCAAGGCGTGAAGAATGGCTTGGAACAAGACCTAAAAGACTCCAGGACAAGATCAAAAATTGAAGACTTAGTCGAGTCGGTCTTTTGTGATCAAAACCGACAATAAATTCAAGTCTCGGTTCTCAAAAAGTCAAAACAATTTTTACAAATCACAAAATATTTTTTTTGTGCATCAAAACAAACATTTTTGATGATTTCTTCTATTGTTAAAATCCCTGGTCCTTGCTCAGAACCGAAACCACCTTAGTCGGCGTTCGGCTTTCGGCGTTCGGTTTTTTGCGCCCGAACCAACTCAATGGTTTTCAATTTTTTAAACCCTGTTTTTACCTATGAGCATTTTTAAAATGTTCCCAAATATTTATTTTATAAAAACCACTTTTGTATCTTGGTCAATCGGTCTAACACGTGAAAAACGGTCTAAACCGTACGCACGTATTATACGACCTTGGAGACTTGGTTTTTACCAAACAAGTCTTGTTTTCACTATTTTATACCATATACAGTATTTTCCAAACCTGATTTTTACTTTTGGGAACACTTCGTTTTTGGACCTCGGTTTTTCAAAACGGGTTTCAGCTGGCTAGACTTTAGCTGGGTGATAATCGATTATCACCTTAGTGACAATCGACTATCAGCCCGTGCAGCTTTGAACTTCCAAAGTTCGGAAGCACGCAATAATCGATTATCAGCTTTGCGATAATCGATTATCAGTCTTTGTAGCCAAAATCCAGAATCTTCTAAGAGGACAAATAATCGATTATCACTTGTTGACAATCGATTATCTGGGTTACCGTTGTCGTCCAACGGATAAAATTTTAAATTTTTGGACAGGGAATCTTTGGATAATCTATTATCAAGCTTTGACAATCGACTATCACCCTGTGTCTCTGAAAAATTTGTCTTCATCCTGTTGGAAACTCTAGCAACGGGTTTATCCCATTTTGGGCTATAAAATGGCACCCAAATCCTCTCCTTTTACAGAGAATTCTTCAACATTTCAATACTCTTTCATTGCATAAGCATTCCTATTTTTCTTAGCTATTTGAGAGCCAATTCTTGAATAAATTGTCGTGTTCTTGAGCGTTTACTAGTTCACTCATATCTACACTTTGTGAGAGTTTTATTCCTGAGTGTTTAAGTGTCTTCATACACTTTAAGGGAGGTTGTTCCCTTGTTGTAAACTCGAAGAAAATTACTTGTTCCTTCGTGAGAAGTCTTGGAGTGCGGTATCTCCGAGCAAAGGTGTTGAGGCTCGTGTGACTCGGGTTCTCAAGTTGTATCGGTTTGTTAAGCACCCTTAAGCTTAACGGAGTTAGTGTAGCTCGAGAGAGTCTCTCGAGGGGGCTAGATTAGCCACACGTTGTGGTGAACCAGGATAAAATTCGGTGTGCTCCTTCCGTACGCTCTTTACTTTAACGCTCTCGTTTTAATTTCCTGCGATTTTGTTTTAAACGCTATTCACCCCCCCCCCCTCTAGCGTTGGGCCTTTATTCTAACAATTCGTATCGGAGCCATACTCTCTGAAAGACTTAACCGTTTGAGAGAAACGATCAATGGCTTCTACTCAAAGTTCATACGCAGGTTTAGGTGAAGGGCAATCCACCACGAGGCCTCCATTGTTTGACGGAACAAACTACACCTATTGGAAGGAGCGGATGAGGATTTACAACCAATCCACCAACTTTCTCCTTCGGAGAATTATCAAAAATGGTGAGAACGTGCCAATGAAGAAGGTCGAGGAAACCAACGTCCCTTTCCGTGCTATGACAGAAGTTTGAGCACCTGGCTCGGTTTGCACATACGCTGGTATCCACACTGGCAGAATGGATCCAGGAGTTTTGAAAGAAGCTACGCCCTGATGTGCAACCATACGTGTCCATCTTGACCACTATTGACTTCTCTGAGGTGTACAATGTGATGGCGAAGGCTGAGAAGGATGTAGACGATCTCAAGGCAAGCCTGAGGGCTAGAGAGGCTAGACCAAGCCATCGACCAATGACCAGTGCGGCACCAAGCGACAAGAGGCCATTTGGAGGTACCAAGGGTACCCAAAACCCCAAGAAGACCAAGTCCGCACTAGCCCAGTCCCAGGTAGCGAGTAATAGACACAACCCTCCAGACACCCAGTATGCAATCTGTGTGGAAGGAACCATTTGGGTGACTGCTGGTTCACGCAGTGCATGTGTCTAGGTCGTGGGAAGGTAGGGCACTTCTCTAACGATTGTCCTACCAATCCAGGACCGGTCTTTCCCACAACCGAAGTCGCACAGAGGCCTGCGCAAAGTCAAAGATCTACAACGGGTTTGAATTCACAAAGAGGAAAGAATCAGAACCAAGGCCAGAATCGTCAGCACGGACGTACTCCCGCACGCACCTACACCATGCAAGGGTGTACTGAGGTCAACTGTGACGTCATCCTGGGTATGTTTTTATTATTTGATACGGATATGGATGCACTAATTGATCAGGATCCATGTTATCATACATTTGCATCCGTATGTCGTAGAAATCTGATACATGAGAGGCGATCTAGCATATCCCATAATTGTATCTAACCCGTTAGGGCACAACATGCATCTGCACCACCTATACCGCAACTATCCGCTGATGGCTCAGTGACATTGACTGTTTGTGAATCTAATCGAGTTACCATACAAGGAGTTTGATATTATCCTTGGTATGGACTGGTTGATGGAACACCAAGCAATAATCGACTGTAGACTGCGAACTGTACAATTGAAGACTAATGACGGTAGCGTCGTGGAGGTCAATGGGGAGTTGTTCTCTAAACCTCCGGAGTTCATGTCATTTATGCAAGCAAAACGACTCATCCAAAAGAAGTGCAAAGCCTTCTTGTGCTATGTTTATGATACCAGAAAGGAAACCCCCAAGCAGAAAGACATTCTTACCATGTGTGACTTCCCGATGTATTTCCTGACGATCTTCTTGGCTTGCCACCACCGAGGGAGGTGGAGTTCTCGATTGATTTGATTCACGAGATGGAGCCAATCTCAGCAACACCTTACCGCATGGCACCTGCTAAGATAGAGCTGAAGGCTCAGCTGCAAGAATTGTTGGACAAGGGATTCATCAGGCCGAGTGTGTCTCCTTGTGGAGCACCATTCCACTTCAACAAAAAGAAAGATGGATCTATGAGACTCTACATCGACTTTCGGTAGTTGAATAAAGCCACAATCAAGAACTGTTATCTTTTACCACGAATCAATGATTTGTTTGACTAGCTTAGAGGTGCTACAATGTTCTTGAAGATAGACCTTCAGTCAGGTAACCATCAGATTCCAGTAAAAAAAGAAGATATACCAAAGACGGCTTTCCGAACATGTTATGCGCACTATGAATTCACAGTGATGCCGTTTGGAGTGACTAATGCTCCAACAATATTCATGGATTTGATGAACAACATTTTCCACCCTTATTTAGACCAATTCGTGGTACTCCACCGTTTGGATTTGATGAACAACATTTTCCACCGTTTGGACTGAATAATGCTCCGACGACATCTTGTTGTACTCAAAGACACCAGAAGAACATGCTAGACATTTGCCGACTGTACTTGGTGTGCTGAGAGAGCACAAGCTCTACGCCAAACTGTCCAAGTGTGAATTTTGGCTGAGTGATGTCACATTCTTACGACACATGATTTCCAGCAAAGGTATAAAGGTGGACCCAAGTAAGATCTCAGCTATAACGGAGAGGAAGACTTCGAGGAATGCACGAGAGGTGAGAAGCTTACTCGGCTTAGCTGGTTACTACCGGCGCTTTGTGGAGGGTTTCTCATCCATTGCATCGCCGTTGAATAAGCTACTGAAGAAGGACGTCAAATTTATATGGACTAACGCATGCCAATAGAGTTTCAAGAAACTCAAGAAGTGCTTAATTGAGGCACCAGTGCAGGTACAACCAGTGCCTGGAGTTTACACTATTTTCAGCGATGGATCTCACAGTGGACACGGCTGTGTGCTCATGCAAAAGGGTAAGGTAGTATCCTACGCCTCCCAACAATTGAAAGCTCATGAAGGTAACTACCTTACACACGACTTGGAGTTAGCAGCGGTGGTATTTGAATTGAAGATTTGGCGACATTACCTATTTGGCGAGACCACCTACAACCACACCAATCACAAGAGTTTGAAGTGATTACTGACTCAGAAGGAGCTGAACTTGAGGCAAAGAAGATGGTTAGAACTAATCAACGCCTATGACTGCTATATCGACTATCACCCGGCCATTGTGGTGGCCGATGCCTTGAGTCAGAAGACTATGGCTAAGCTGCGACTTCAACCTACTCTAGACAGCGAGATCCGTGCGGCTCAGTAAATAGATGACTTTTGTGTGAAGACTTGCGAGCTTGTCCTTAAGCGGGGACGGACAAG